AAAATTGTTTATTGTTTTATTTAATTAACCCCTTGAGTACTGTGAATTATTTGAAGATTTTTATGCATATATAACTTATTTATTATTTAATTTGTTTCCATATTAATATATATATATAGATATAATTTATAATTTATTATATTAATTATATATTATATATATATTAATATATATTATAATAATTATATTATATATAATTTATATAATATTATATAAATTATAAATTATTATTATTATATATATATTATTATTAATTAATATTTAATATAACTATAAATATAGTATAAATTAATATAATATTATATTAAATATATTATATATAATTTATTATTTAATTTGTTGCTATATGGATTAATATGTAAAAGTAATAGATTTTATGTGGAATATATTTATATTGGTAATATAGAACAACAACATTTCAATTAAAAAATATAAATAAATATAAAAATGAAACAAAATAGAAATATTTATATATTTTACATATTTCATATATAAGCTTCTTAAATTCAGATGACGAGTCAGTCTCGTCAAATGTACTCCCAAAGGGTTAATTAGAAATTTGTTCCTTTTTGATATTTTTGTTTTCTTTTACTTTAGTTTTTATCGATTGGTACTCTTGTTATTCTACTTAATATATATAATATACGATCGAATATATTATTACTATTATAATTACAATAATTTTTATCAATAATTATGATAAATATGGGGAAAGATAAATGAAAATATTTGATTTCAAATGTTTCAGGAAATTATCCTACAAAGGGATCAAATATCTATGAAGCGTAAGATTCTTATTACAATATTACATGATTGAGATTAAACAATCTTGATAATGTATTATTCTTTCGAATGTAAATAAGAGAAGCTTGTAAAGAAGTAATAGTAATAGGTAATCGTATTTTTTAAAGTGCGAAAGAACACGAACGAATACATCGTATATATATATATATATATATACTCGTAGATACGTTAAAATTAGGTGTATATAAATATATACAAGTGTATTTAACACTAAACCTACTATACTAATTAATTTTATATTTTTTATTTTAATTGAAATGAATTTAATTTATAATTCCTTTACGATTAGTATAAAAGCTATTAATATCTTCAGGTCTAAGTTTTTTTTAAATTATTTATAATATTATTAATTGTATAAATGAATATACATTAAAATTTAATATTATTATATGAATATTAATATAAATTAATATAAATTAATATAAGTAATATAAATTAAATTGATTTAATATATTTATTAATATAAATAAATAATATATTATTTTGATATATTGTATATTTTATATTTAAATTAATTTTAATTTAATAATATTATTATAATAATTTTTTTTAAATTAATATAGGTTTAGTGTTAAAATCGTGTTAAGTGATAATTATCAATCTTATTTATAAATTATCGATCTTGGTGATCGTCATAAAAATGTCATTGTGTTTGTTGCTTGCTCTTTTATTTTATTTCTAAGAAGAAGAAGAAGTAGAAGGATAATAAGAATAAGAAACATAAATGAAAAAGATAGTTCGTAAAAGAGAAGAGCACCAAGTCGATAGACAGAATGAGTAAGTAAGTAAGTAAGTAAGTAAGTAAGTAAGTAAGTAAGTAAGTAAGTAAGTAAGTAAGTAGTATAATCTAAAAAAGAAGGTCAGAAAAGGGGTAAAGGGGTGTATAGTGGTGAAAGGAAATAAAGGTTAAGGTGTGGTAGATATGTGAAGAAAGAGAAAGGGTCTAAAGATTTATATATATATATATATATATCTATATATACTATACTATGTATATATAGATATATATGTACGATGGGCATTTCATAATTTTGCTAGCAGAGGCAAGAGAAATTCTGCAGTGATAAAAGACATTAAGGCAGGTGCAGAAATGGCGGTGGAATACGGCATTTTGTTTTTGTTTTTTTTTTAAATATTTTTTTTTTTTTTCAGTGCTCCCCTACACATCAATCAATAATATATAATATATGTATTATATTATATATAGGTACTCTTTTTTGTTATTTTGTTGTTTTTTGTTTGTTTCATTTATTTTTTTCTTATTGTTTTATACGTTATCACTGCTCGTCTCGTTCTCAAGTAGTGTGTGTCAAACCTGAAATTAATTGATTAGTAAAATTGCGTCCCAAAACGACGGTGAATCTCTTTTAACGGGATAAATCATATTAAGATATATTATTTATATTATTTGGACAAAAGAGAAATTGAAATTCCAAAATTTGAAAAATTTGTAAAGAAAATACAAATGATTTGTAAACAAATTTTATATATTTAAAGTTTAAATCCAATTACTGCAGTAGTAGCATCAAAAAAAAATTAAAAGAATCACACAATGTTGCAATTTTAAAATACTTAATAATTATTATTAATTATATTTGAAAAAACCTATTAAATAAATTTTCTATATTTGATGTTTTAATTCAATCTTTTTAGTAGCAGCATAAAAAAAAATTAAAAAAAGATTGTACAAAGTTGCAATTAAAATTTGTAATAACTTTTCAGATGATTATTATTTTGTGACGAAAGATTTTGTGTTATAACTGTTAGTGAAAGGTATAATCAAAATTGCAATAAAATAATGTTTGTACTCTATACATATTTATGTGTGTGTGTGTGTGTGTATATAAAATGTATATGTATAATAAAAAATATATAATTCGTTGTTAGTGAAATACGGTCGCATTGGGACAAACTCACGAGGCACAAATACACAACACAACAAATAAAAGGTTAGGCTCAAAGTAATAGATCAAAGGTGAGAAAAAATATCGATCATAACCTACAAATTTATGAAAATGATTCTCAAAAAGGGTGAGAACCAGAAAAAAAAATTTTATCACCTTTGATCCAACCAAAAGCCACGAAGGGGGGGATCTTGGTGCAGACACAGTAGGCAGCAGGTTGTGCCAAGTATCATTTCTGGAGAACAATCGATATATCGCGTGTGGTGTCGAGAGACAGCTGTCACGTGAACATTCCATTCTTGTCCCGTGTAGAAAGACGTCTGTTGTATTATATATAAGTATATACATTGATATATAGGTAATATATAATATATATATATTATTGGGTTGGCAACTAAATTATTGCTGATTTTAAAAAGCCATCTATCGATAAAATCCGTAACCACTTAGTTGCTAACCTAATAATATAATATATATATAAATTGTTATTTTATAATACATGTGCGACGTATATATGCAGGTATATATATGCATTGTAATTGTAGTTGTTGAAAAGGGGTTAGTAATAGTAATGGCGTCTTTTATTATTTTTTTTTTTTTAATAATATGAACTAAAATAATGTTATAACTCGCATTCGCCGCGACACGAGTCGATAAGTGTATTTAGGATTATTTGTTGTTGTTGTTGTCAATGAGAATATATTGAGGATAAATGAATATTTAATTAAATTTATTTAATAGGTAACTCGAACTCGAAAAGTTTTCTTCACGCGATTTAATAATTATTAAATTTTTATAATTATTTGATACAAAAAAATTTAATAATTATAATAATAAAATTATATATAATAATAATTATAATATATACATTTATTTTTAATAGGTATTAGAAACTCGAAAAGTTGTTTTTACGCGATTTAATAATATTATTGTTTTTTTTTTTTTATAAAAAAAAATATATAAAAGTATTTATAAAATATTTAATTATATTTATTAAATATTTTATATAAATTTAATTTCATTTATTTAAATAAATGCTTTATATATATATTTATAAATATATAATAATTTTATTGTTATTTTTAAAGTATTATATTTGTCAATTGGATAATTTTTAAAAAATAAGATCCGATACTCGTCCGATTAGGCTAATCTGTTTTTAATGATTAAAATACCTTTACGAATCAATTTGATAGCCAAGTATATCTCTATCAAAATATATCTGTAAATTAACACACCTGTATTTATAGACATATATATTATATATATTTAGGTGTACAGGTATATCATGTATATGTGTTGGTAGAGTTGTTTCAGAATACGCGGCACGAAACAGATTAGCGAAGGCATTAGTATTCACAGTTTCGACACGGGGTACGTCCAACGTGACGTATTTCCTGAAACGTTCCATATAGAACAAGCAAAGGATGACACGACGCGGCGTTATGTTGATGAAGGGTAATACAATAATGCTGTCGACCCAATTTACATACAAAGGAGTTTAACACAGAATTAACTATGCACATAGATTGTCCTGAGATCATTTTGATTAATCATTGAAGATGATGATTAAGTAGAAGAACGAGTAGAAGTAGAAGAATGAACGAAATGAACGAAGAACTTAAGAAGAGAATCAATTTTGGTAATGTCAATAAATTACTCAGCTCGCGGTTGCTGTCTAGGTGCTTCAAAATCAGGATATACAGGACAATCATCCTACCGGTAGTCCTTTATGGTATCGAAACGTGGTCCACTTACGTTATGGGATGTAAAGAAATTGGGGGTTTGAGAAAATAAAGTTGTTCGTTAAATCTTCGGTGCAAAATGTGATGAGGAAACGGGCGAATGGAGAAAACCCCATAACGTAGAAGTACACCGACTAAAGAAATAGGCTAGGAAAACTGCGAATGGAGAGGTCAAGCTCAGGGATGGGAACACTGGCGGGATTTGTTATTTGCGGCAATGAACTTTCGAGTTTCTAATGCCAATTAATAATAATAAAAATACAATCGTTTGCTTTTCGAGTTCGATTTGATGATTCTTATTGGTTTCCTTATTGTTTTCTTATTATTTATACTTTGATAGGGAAAATATATCCATTTTTGTTTTGTATTGTACACGTTGGATACCGCGACGTATGTATGTTTTTTCAATATAATGTTGATTATTTTTTTGTTTGTTCTTCGTTGTGAGGCTCACTATAATGTCGATTTATAATAGAACGAATCGATAATGATCGATCATTAATTGTTTGAATTAAATGAAAATTTTGAAGTAGATCATGCTACTGACCTCGAGGAAGTCCTTCACCGTACTGTCGATCACCATAAGTGGTCGTTGGATCAAATGGATCACACCGTTTCGTACTGGGATGTTTGGCTTAACGATTTCGGCTAACACGACACCGGGATGGTGAGATGCATCACCAACTATCGTATTAGACTTGACATATACTGTAAAGTAACGTGTGGTTGAATTAATTCAAGATTATGTTAATTAATCCTTAAAACTTTGTATTGAAAACGTATAAAAACGTATAAATAATAAATTAGTCTTATTAAATATAAATCAGATAATTAGAAATCAAATTAATCTCTTAGGCACGATTAAATGTTAAAATTAAATGCTAAAGTAACGATGTGTGATGAACAATGGTTGTTCTCTACACGAATACATTTTAATGAAGTGTTTTTTGATGACTAAATTATATAATTTTTCTAAAAGATATGTAAATATTATACGCATACTTTAACTTTGATAAATTACTTTATTAATTAATTTTAAAATTAGGTATAATATATTTGTAAAAGATGTTATGCGCGAAAGCCACTATAGTGGCATGTAGTGCATAAAAGGTTAATATAATGTAATCGTATTATATAAAGTTATTATAAATAAAAATTTATATAAATAAATATAAATATAAAATATATATAAATAAGTATACATATAAATTTGTTGTATAATATATATATATATATTAAAAAAGCATGAAACTTTGTGCCATTTTTAAGTATTTTTCCTTAATCACATTAACAATTCAATTTAATTGAATCAATTAATTATAAAAAATAAAGAAATATTACAAAGTAGATATTTTAGATAAAAGAAATAAAGTCACAAATGGATGTGTAATATAAAAAATTCAAAAAAATATAATACAATATTCCATGTTACCTGATTACAGGTTTTCTTTTGTAAACCCCATGAATAGACGGTATATTCAAAAATCCCTATTAACCATTTGAATTCAAATATTCTAATCATTTCTATTGATTTAATAAAATGACACGAAATTTCTTGCCCCAAAAAATTGGTTGTTCTTGTGTTATATTTTTGTTTAAATAATTGTTTACTACCTTTGTTATGTTCCCTGAGAAAACTGACGGTAACTTTGAGGTTGTCAGAGAAAACAAGCGTCTCGTAATGAATATTCTCAGGTGTAGGTACTGTGAAAAGAATATGATTGGGAATCACGTGTCCATCAATTACGAGATGATCAATCTTCTGTGGCCTAGGCTCCGGCTGCAAATAGAAAAAAAAAAGAATAAAAAAAAATGAAAAACAAAAAAAATTCTTCAAAAAAATAGAAATAATATTATACGAACGAGCAGGTGGAAAAAAACATCAAAAAAAGAAAAAAATAGAAGAATATTCGATTATTTATTCGTGAGAAATTTACGAGGGAAAATATTCGATGAATATTCTCCGAATGAGGGGAGGGAAGGTGGATGAGGAGGGCCAGGGGGAGGAACATAGACGACGAATGAAATGAATTTATTTGCATGATATTTTTTATATTTATTTAAAAGACACCCACACAGAGAGTGTGAGAAGAGTTAAACCGGATGGTGAAAGAAAAAACTGGGGTTGCAAAAAAACAATTTTCCTTTTTCTTTTTTTTTTTTGTGAAACCCTTGAAAAACTTTTCCCCCTTTGGTTGTTGTATTTTTTTTTTTCTTTTTCCAATGAATAAACTGGCTCGTCGTCGTCGTCGTCGTCGTCGTCGTCGCGACTAAAAAGCTTCTTCTATTTGCACTGTATACCAATGTAGGGGTGTATAAGTATACATATATATGTATATATGTGAGTGTGTGTGTAACTATAATGCGGTGTAATCGCATAAGCACAGACGAAGAAGAGAAAGGTAGTAGACGGTAGGAAGTCAGTCAAAGAAGACGTGCCAGCTTACTTACACGTCGTTGAACATCTTTACACGCATAACGAAGTAAATGATCCAAAGAGGAAAAGGGGTCGGTCCTGTTATCTTAGAAAGCTTTCGTAATATATACCTTATTGCTCGTGTAATGTTAGAAAGAGAGAAAGAGAGACAGAGATATATATATATAGAGAGAGAGAGAAAGAGAGAGAGAGATAATGGTGACGAACAAAAGTGAAACTTGCTCGAACGACGATAATATATCACACGTGGGTGTCATCCCGAAAATTTGAGTAAAACGACAGACTACTATTACTACTAATATTACTACTACTACTATTAATATGTGTAATGTGGTAAAAGCTTTTCTCTGATTTTGTATATTATAATTTAAGTTGAAAATTATATTTATTTACCTTAAATCCTTCGTCAACGGGAATGAAAAAAGTATAACGACCATCTGCAGTGAAGATTCCTTCCTTTTTTTCTATGACGATCCTTTGTCGGAAGGTCCTTGGAAAATATTAAATTTATTGGATATTAATGAATATAAGAATATTTATATTATTATTTTATGTATTATATAAATTTTAATATTTGTATTATAATATTATAAATTTTATTATATTATTATTTTATATATTATAAAAAAATATTATTATTATCTAAATATAAATATATAAATATAGATATTTACCTAACACGATGATTACCCATGTTTAAATTCTCACTTTGGTTTAAAAATTGAAATGCATCAGGATTGTAGATCGGTGATTCCGATGACATCGAACGTACCGGTTCCAATACTTCATCTATCACGTGCAAAACCTATAAAAAAATACATAAAAAAAAAAAAAAAAAACTATGTTAGTACACAAAAATGATAGACTACACATATTAAATATCTGATGCAACAATTCAAACTGGCAACAAGTGTAACCGTTCGCACAAAACCTATGTATATTTATGTATATATTTGCAAAACAAATACTAAAAACTAAAAGAAAAAAGAAAAAAAAATATAAAAAGATAAGAGATGGCACATTGCATATTTGGTTGCATCGTTGCAACACAAAGGGCGAGACTATTTTGTCGGTGTCGAGAGACGAGAAACGAGGACGAAACGAGTGAAGGATGTAAGGGATGGATTTGCCCTATCTTTCCGTTCACGATATCTATTCCAACGAGCCAACGAGCGAACGTGTACGACCATTTACAATACGAAGTTTGGTACTATAACGTTCATCCCATCCTCCTTCACCTCCTCCTTCTCCTCCTCCTCCTCCTCCTCCTCCTCCTATCCTTTCTCCTATTTATCCCGCTTTTCTGTGTGATCGTCGTGACTCTTTTATCTCGCCTGGGAGATTGACTATGCTTTGTAGCACCACCGTTTGTACAGAGAAAGAGAGAGTGAGAGAGAGAGAGAGAGAGGGAGGGAAGAAAAATGGAAAAAATACGATAATCAAAGAGGGATGGTTAAGAGAGAAACCCCGTTTTCTCTTTGAACAATGAAGGATTTCGTAACTACGAAATTATTCTGTAAAAGAGATGAGAAGAGAATAGAAGAGAGAAAGAGAGAGAGAGAGAGAGAGAGAAAAAAAATCAGTGATTTCTTTAGCTTTAAATTGTCGACTCGTTAAACTATCAACTTTATTTTCTTTGCGATAAATTGTTTTGTTTATTTATTTATTTTAACGTGAATTCTCAAATAGAAATATATAATACTCACTTTAAAGATGTATTTATTAACAATTATTTTAATATTCTAATATACTCTACTTATATTAGAATATTTATTATACACGAATTATATACAGGGTGTTCAAAATAACATAAATCGTCTGACCTTTTCTTTCTTTCTGTATGATCTAATTTCGTTTTAAATTATTTTCGAAAAAGCGTTTTATTTAAAGACGCACATGGTAACAACATAAAGAAAGACGTTCTTATTTGCAGTTAGAGAGAGAAAGAGAGAGAGAGAAAGAGAGAAATATGAGAAACGGAATTGCCTTAAAGGTTACTTCGAGATTCGTTGAAGAGAACGTATGACTTAGATAGAAGAAAAGAAAAGTGGCTGGGAGTAGTACCTAGAGGGATGAAAGGGGGTTGGTACTGGTTAGTAATAGTGGTGGTGGTTGTGTCAGGGGGTTGTAAGAACGAAGAAAGGTAGTTCATACAGGGTCGATTCTTTAGATTTTTCTTTTTCTTTGTTCCCTCGACTTTTCTTTTATTTGCTTCCTCAATTTTCTTTCTTTCTGTGTTTACCACCACTTGTTTTTTCATCTCTTTTTCTCTCTCTCTCTCTCTCTCTCTCTTTTTCTCTTGTACATCCAATCACATCTTTTTCTCTATGTTTCTATTCTTTCTTTTCTTCCTCTCTCTCTCTCTCTCTCTCTCTCTCTCTGTTTCTTTCTTTATATTTCCTTCTTTAACTTTATCGTTTCTACTTCCTTTCCCCGGTGATTCCCTTACCGATATCATCTACTACGCAATCGAATTCTTTTCTTATATTTTTAACAAGCTTTGACCTTATTTTTATCGTAACGTTTCTTCTTGTCTGGAAGATGAAGAAAAATGGAAGCTAAGGAAAGAAATGAAAAAAAAAAAAAAATAAAGAAAGAAATACAGATAAACAGACTGACAGACAGACAGACGTTAACGTGTCTGCTTTGGAAGTGTCATCAATATCATTTATTTCACGTTGAATTACGAAGAAATACAATTTCTATCCTTCTCCTCACTCCCTCTTGTTTTTTCTTTCGTATTTTTTGAAAAAAAAAAAAACAAAAAAATACTAAAATCTGAACTTTATAATCTTAAATTTATCTTTATTAGGAATATTATTATCATTGCACGCATGTGCATTACCTAAATTGATTATTTCCTTTAAGGGGTAGTAACACCACTATAGAGCCTTTTTTTGGGGTGGGGGAATTTTTTTTGCGAACACTAAATGAGGAATAGAATTTCTTTTTTGAGGGTTGATTAATCATATATTGAACTATGTAAACAAATATTTTTATTGATTTTAGATACAAAATGGCGTCGGTATAGGTGGCCGATAGGAAAAAAAAAATTAGTTCTTCCGATGCGTTAGAAGAAGAAGAGGAAGAGGGGGAGGTGTGAGTGAATGTGTGAGTGTGTAAGTAAATAGTAATTGTAATAGTAGTCTCGTCTTTCGAGAAATATAAAATTCTATTTTTCTTTCTTGTGAATATCATTATCGACTTTTCGTAGAACGGGAATTAATTCGTGTCTACCCTCGAGCATTGCCTTAGGGCTAAGGGGTGGAGGGTTTACCGTGCCTTCATTCCTTCCTTTCCTTTCCTTTCCTTACCTTTCAGTCTGCTCCGATTTTTTTCTCTTTTTTTGTTGTTGTTTTTTTTTTCTACCGGAGATTCGAAGGAAATTTCAGTCAGAATAATTCCGTTGGAGATATTGGGCTGTAAACACCTCCCACTAGTGTACGCTAGCTGCACGATCCGAAGGGTTGCAGTTAATGGAAGGGAAAAATGCAGTAAGCAAAGAACGACAACTACTACGATGACGATGAAACATCCACTCATCCAATGGTGTAAAGAGAATAAGAAGAAGAAAAAGAAGAAGAAAATGAAAAAGAAATAGTAGAAGAAGATGAAGATGAAGAAGAACAAAAAGAAGAGGAAACAGAAGAGAAGAAGAAGAAGAAGAAGAAGAAGAAAAAGAAGAAGACAAACATGGAGATAAAGTTGAAAATGAAAAAAAAAAAAAATTAGAAGAAGAAGAAGGTGGAAAGGGGTGAATGAGAAGGATGATGAAATGAGATGAGATGAGAGAAAAGGAGAGGAGAGACGAGATGATAGGAGGATTCTTCCGTTCGCGTTCGTCTATAAGGGAATTGAAAATCAGCCGCGGGCAAAGGGAACGAGATATTACGCGGAAATAGTTGGGCAAAAGCAACCACCACCGACCGATACTCCGAGAGTTTAAACCGAGGTAGAAGAAGTCCTATCGATTGAGCTTTTTTTTTTCTTTTTCTTTTCGAAAGAACATGGGAATCGAGAGATGGATCACGAAATAGAAAGAAAAGAGAAAGAGAGAAAGAGAGAGAGAGAGAGAGAGAGAGAGGGAGGAAGGGGAGAAATTTTCGAAGAGCAATCTCTCGTAATTTCTAAAGATAAAAGTTGAATAAACTTGTGTATGTGTGTGTGTGTGAGAGAGAGAGAGAAAGTGGGTATATTACGTTTCACTTTACGTTATTCTACCTCTTTTATTACTATACGTCATTACTATGGTTATTACCATTATCCCTAGGAGTTATTTATTACGTTCAGAGACGAACCAATATTGCGTCAAGATTGTTCTCCTCGAACGTTGAGGGTGTGGGTAAAAATGGGGATGAGGATGGAATCTGACGTAAAAGGAAGAGAAAATAAAACAGTACTTATTATTATCTTTCTTTTATTTTATTAATTAATTCCTTTTTTATTTGTACTTATACTTTCGAGATATAAATTGTTTTTTTTTTTAATAATCTTTCTGATAAATAATTTCATCTATGGTCTAACGAAATTCGATGATAATTTAGTTTTGTTTTGTCTCTATGTTATATATATATATATAAATTCAGTGCCACTTTGTTGTTTTTCAATGAACTTCGAAATTATACAATCGATCTAAAATTTGGTTTATTTTGTGTGACTTTTTTCAACTTAGTACATAGGATAGTTTTTTTATCGCGTTTATTTTTTATTTTTTATCACTAATATTTAAGGATTTATTATTTAAAGGTTATCTAAATCTTTAAGTACTGTAAGTTTTCTATAGATGCTACTTTATTACAACTCAATTATTTCACGTTTTATTTCAGATATATCTAATTGTGTTATTATTTTGTATATTGTTATAATTCACTAAATATCTTAGAATTATATGAAATCAACCTTTCATAACAAAGCAACCAAATCATTCTAGTATATATATATATAACACGAGATTTCGTTTTTTCGTCGATAATGTTAATTACATTTTGGCTTATAAGTTTAATGCTTGCTAGATAGGTAAGAGGATTGAAAAAGAAAAAAAAAAAGAAAAAAAATGGAATAAATGGTAAGAAGAAAATTTCTACGTGGAATTGGATAGGAAAAGATAGTTAGTTTCCATCTCTCTTTCTCTCTCTCTCTCTCTCTCTCTCTCTCTCTTTGATATTACTACCCTCAGTTAAAGAGAGGTGGATCAAAGTGGTAACGGAGAGAGAAAATAGTGATCTCTAAAGGCGTGCTACGTCGAAGGGATTAGTTATAGAGACCGTGGGTGTGTGGTATGGTTCAGTGCGATTTTTATCAGGTGATGGTACTTTAACTAGAGATTAGAGGATTCGTCTGGCACAAGACGAAATGAGATCCAACCTTTCGCTTTCCTTTTTCCTTTCCCTTAACTCACTCACTCACTTGCTCGCAACCAAAATACAACATTGATTTCATGTAACGAAACGACTAAATGAAAATATTTACAAGATTTCATCTTATGGTTAGTTCTTATGGATAGATAATTTAATTATATCATACACGTGTTGTGCGAACGATTAGTTTGTTAAAGTGTTAACAAAACGTTTATAATGTATTTCAAATGTTTAATTTTTTTTTTAAACAAATGTTTAAATAATGTAATAATATTAATAGATAAATTAACTTACTTGCGTCTTGATATCGCCATTGACTTTTATTTTCGATTGAAAATTGCTATGTTGTTTCAATACTTTAGCGTTGTTTATGAATACTTCTTCATCACCAGCAGGACCAGGTTTTCTCGTAACCCATAATGGCGGATTACCATCTAATTCGGATGAAACCGAAAGTCCTAATCGTTCGATCGTCAATGGTAGGTTCGCTAAAACAAAAAGTAAAACAACAACATTATTTTTCAATTTATTATATGAATGAAATAATAATAAAAAAACAAATATATATATGTAAGGTTTTAATGGTAACGCGCGGCGTATGATCTACGATAGGACAAATTTGTCAGGAGTTCTTTTATTTTTTTATTTCTTTTCCCTTTTTTTTTTCTTTTTCAATTTTTTTTGTTTTGTTTTGTTTTTTTTTTCACTGTGTCTCGTCGACGTTTTCTTTTCGCTCTTTCAACGAGGTCCCAAATGATTAAGCTCCCGATCGATTCGCATTTATTTTACTCTCGGGTGCAGGGATGCAGCCGCGGGGCACAGCTGCACCAATGGCTGAGTCTGGCCACAAAACGAAAACGTCCGTACAAAGCTGCTTGCGCATCGATTTATATTTCGGTATAGAGAGAAAGAGAAAAAGAGAGAAAGACAGAGAGACATAGAGATAGAGAGAAAGAGAGAGAGAGAGAGAGAGAGAGAGAGAAGGTTGGGCTTTCTCTCTATCTTTCTCTCTTTCTCTTTCTATTTATTTCTCTCATTCTTTTTCTAATCCCATTTTCTTCAATGTTCCTATCTACGAGGAACTATCTATCAGCATAATCTTTAAACATTATTTAAAATATTATCGCGAATTGATTGAATTAAAACATATGTATCTCGATAATAATATAATAAATGAATATTTCGTATTATTTTAAATCTCGATCTTATTTTAATTTTACAATCTTGATTTCATCATGAAAATTTATTTTATAAAATCATGTGATTGTACAAAATACAATTATTTATATCTCACACACAATTATTATATTATTAATTAGTACATACATTTATATATTTATTTATTATATTATTATTTTATTATATTATATTTATTTTATTATATATTATTAATTATTATATATATTATTTATATATGTATATATATATTTTTTTTTTATATAATTATATCTTATAATTATATAATTATATAATATAATTATATAAATTATATAAATGTATAATGATAATAATATAATTAATATTTAATATAATTTATTTAATTAAATTGTAAATAAATTTTATTTTTCCAATTTGAAAAGAACTAATATATAATAAATTTATTAGTTTTTCTTGAAACTGTAAATTATTGAGTCTTACTACTTGCACAGTATGTATGATTTTGATAAATTTACAAAAAAAATATATACTCCATGTAAGTCGTATATTTTTTATATATATATAATATTTAATTAATATACAGCTTATGTCAAAATATATAATAAATAAACTGATCTACCATAATAAAATTGAATAAAATTTTAATAAAATTCGTATTTTAAATTAAATGCAAGCATGAATTTAAATTTACCCGGTAAGTGCTGCCTCCCCACGAACATTTAAGGAACTAGAACGCACGCGTTCTCCCGCACTTCGTATAACCAGCAGTATGTAAACGTTTGAAAGAATACGACGTTTGTGTTGTGTGTTTTATATTATTTTCTTTTTTTATCATTTATGTTATCGTTAATCAGTGTTAGTGTTTTATATTAAACGTTATTCTATTGTATTTTCCTATTTTGAAGAAAAAAAATGGGCGATATCTCCGTATCTAAGGTGAGAAATAATATCTTGATAACCTGTTGCATGTATCTTGACAACCTAACCTTAAATTCAAAACATTAGAGAAAATATTCTTAATGCTTTCTCTTAAATAATTTAATTATAAATAAAAAAAGAATATAGAATCTCATTTGTATACTTGAAATAAACTTATTTTCTTTTTTGTAAATATGTGCATTTGCATGTCATATATTTGACAGGTACATTCATTTATAGTTTGATAGAAACATTTGATTTATTTTATATTTAGGGTGTTTTTCCTCATAAAGGTAGTTATAAAATTGGTCAAAAAAAAGCTATTCGCAATAACTATGATTATTCCAATGAATTATGGTATATTACATACAAAGAAATATGGGATATGATTCAAACAAAAGCAGAGGTACAAAAACTTAAAAGTTAGATTACAATGTTATAACTTATTAAGCTTTTAATATTAGATTTAATATAAATATACTTTATATGTTTTAGTGTATAAGATCTAATATGATCAGTCAGTTGATATCTGATTTACAATCTTTTGTATTAAGTGTACAGTCAAATAGTATTGATATATTTAAAAATGAATTACCAACAGCTATGCTATTAACTGGTAATGAAATATATATTAATAAATATATTTAATTTGTTAGAATATTCTTTAAAATGAAACTTTACGTTGTAGGTGTTAACATACCGGATCATTCTAAAATCTTTCAAAAGATAGTTCATACATTAGAGACTTTAACTTTGAACGTTGCAATATTATGGAGTAAAGATTCTAACAATATTAAAAGTATAGTTTCAGATACAGTATTTCAATTTATGAATAAAAATGGAGAGGTCAGTGTATTAATAATATCTTAATATGTTCTGTGCCAAGCCCTTTTTATTTGACTTGTCATTCAGGCCATTTTATTTTGCTTTAACAAAATCAATCATTACATGTTATTATTAATTATTGTTAATATAATAATTATACAAACTCATGTGCTTTGTTCTATACTGCATTTTGTACAATGCATCAATATTTTAAATTTGTTATAAACATATATTTTCAGTGCATTAAATAAATATGTCTAATGGTAAGTGTACCATCGGTGGTACACGTGGCCTGAAGAACAAGTTTAATGTACACGTGGCATGGAACGTGGTAATTAAGTTAACATTTAAGAAATATAATTTACAGGATGATGAATATGAAATAAAGAAAGCTCATTGTAGTATGCGTGCTTTAAAATTATGGTACTTAACGCACTGTGATCAGTCTGATCCTTTGATCATTATAATCCCTGATTTTGAAAGTTTCTCACCTAACGTACTCCATGATTTTATATTAATATTAAGGTATCGTAGAATTGAATAAATTTTATGACAAATATAATGGAAAATCTTTTTCTTATTTCATATTTTACAAAATTTGTCATAATTTTAGTTCTTATTCGGATACAATCAAATTTGTATTACTTTTTGGTATTGCAACAACATTACACGTTGTACATAGATCTTTGTCGTATGATGCTACTTCTAAGTTAAAAGTAAAGGTAATTACAAGTATTTCATCATTCACGAACAAAATTATTGTATAGTAGTATTATTTTGTCAATAGTATTATAGGTGTACAGTTTATTCGTTACAGGTATTACATATGCAAACACAAATTAAAAGTTTAGCCGATATATTGGAAGGAACGATTTTTTCTACGGATATTTTCTTTAGATTGACCGGAAGAGCGTTTCAATTATTAACAGATATTTTTTTGTTCAATGATTTCTCGGTTGATCGTTTTTTACAACATTATAAGGTGCCTGTTTCTTTTTTTTTTTTCTTTATAATTAATTTTATCAATAAATTTGATAAAACTTTCTGTACTTTTTGTACTTTTTCTTTTTTATGAATTATAATAATGTCTTTAGTTATGCACGATACATCATTTTTATGGGAACAATATAAACTCATTGTGTTGTCAAAGAAAAGATATAAAATCTAGAATATCTGCACTAACTGAGGAAGATATTAAAGATTTGAAGAAATTACCATCATTTGAAAAATATTTAAAAACTTATCAACAATTAGATGAAAATAACAAACTTAAAGATAAAAAATTAATGAATTTAATAGAAACTTTATTGATACAATTTCACGAATATATGACGAGATTTTTAACGATATTAAAATGTCTGCATACTTTGGTATCAACCTTACCAAAAGAACCATTAGGAAAACAGGTACGATGATGTTAATAACGAAGCTTTGTGTTGCTTTTTTTTTATTAAAAGAAAAAAAGAAAAAATTAAAAATATAAAAAATATACAAGAAAGTAAAAGAAAGAGAGCCCCCAGAAACGAGTTCTTTATTAAAAAAAAAGCATTTATTTTTAGTTACGCGAAGTTTATACAAAAACGGTTTATTCGAGTAATGTTACGGAGTCTCAAGAATACAGAGAATGCCTTCAGCTATTAAACTTTTTATCGAAAGAAGAGTTGTTAACAAAATTAGAGTCTATCAAGATGATACTCGAAAATACGATGAAGGAGGAGGAAAAATATCTCTTGAAAGAATTTCATGAAAATTTGACGACACGTATCAATGAAATTAAAGATGCTAGTTTGGATGTTATTAATAATAATAATGCGGAAATCATTTCTGCCGATCAAAAACTTTCGCGTAATCAATTGAAACAGGTAAAATAATAAATATAAGGTGTTTATTTTAAAAGTGGCCTAATTCCATTTATGTTCGAATCGCGATATTGAAGAAGGATTTGCGTTTCAATGCAATTAAAAATACACGTGTATAATATTAATGAGTCATATTACTTGCAAGTGAAACTGAAGAAGTATAATTTATAGTTTCTATTAAAATAGTGGCAATTATTAAATGAATAATATGTGTTTTCTTATCACGAATGGAGTTAGGCCACTTTCAATAACAACAATTTGATTTGTTATACAATTTGAAAGGGACCCAACTTTTTTCTTGTTATTTTTTCATCGTATAGAAATTATTCGAGTTGAGTCAGAATCATAAGCGTTCACCTTACAAGCAAGCTCAATTTGATTTAATAAACTATTTAGATCGTGAGATCTTCAGCGTTTATCTATTAAATCCAACTGAAATACCCATGAACGAGATATTTTGTTATAACGATGGTAATGCAGTTAAACAACATATTCGTGGTTCTGTAAGAGGCTCCATACACATGGGTTTGAATGATCCGCAAACGTACTTGCAGGTAATTTAAACCGCTTTTATGCGGTACTCAGTTTATTATCGGTTCGCGTTTATTTTTTGCTCCTCTCTCTGTTTTTTTCTTTCTTTTTTAAATGAAAACTTTGCGTGAGTTCTTCTCTCACGCAATTGAAAGAGATTAATTTGAAAATGTATATTTCAGTGTGGCTGTTGTAAATTAGAAAACGAGGATGCTATTTCCACAACGTTGCCAGATTTAAGTATAATTTATAAACTACATTTGGAATCCAAGAAGTTGATCAATATGTACGACTGGTTACAGGTAACAACGATTCTAACACGTGTTTGTGTGTGTTTACATGTTAATCTCTTTCTCTTACATTTATGATTACACACGGTGTATAATATTATACGTCTAACGATTTAAATCGTTATCCTATTTCAAGTTGAATTAGTCGAGCCTTCGAGGTACCACCCGTAAGGATTATTTTCCTTGAAATCCCATTTGATATTACACTATGGGTCTCATATTATACGTGTGTGGGTGTACATATATTTCTCGGTGATTTGAATAGAAAAAACTTTGCGTGACACTTTCGTGATTTATAAATAAAAAATAAAATTAATATTTCTATGGTGGGTTTTTAAGACTAAACGTGTACCGAATTTTGTTTATAGTTATTTATAAGAAAAAAGTTTTAAATTATTTAAATTATTAAAAATATGTGTTTGATTAACTAGATATTACAATTACTAACAATATTTTATTATTACAAATTTAAATATATTTTAATTTTTTTTATTATTATTATTTATTATTACATTTTATTATATTTTATTATTACAAATACAAATTCTAACAATAACTTGTTAGACATTTTTCAAAAAAAAATTATCAATCGGTCATTTGACCCCGGTCATGTTTAAACAAAAATGATTATTTTATAAATAATAATATAATATTTGACAAATTTGTAGGCTTTTTCAACGATAGTAGATCCAGTTGAAGATACAGAAGAGGAACGGGAAATTGATCCTAAAATACAGTATCCTTTTTTTTTTTTTTAATATGATCAAATATTGCAAAAGTCTGTTAAAAAGTTATTTTAAACTGAAATTTTATTTTGATTCAAATATGTTCATTTTTTTTTTCTTCTCAACGATGGTCTTTGTATTTTATTCTTTCATCATTATTACTATTATTATTATTATTATTATTATTGTGATAATAACTTTCCTTAATTAATATAATTACAGAGCACGTTTCACTCGTGCGGTAACTGATTTACAGTATTTAGGTTTCATCAAGACGTCCAGGTTGAAAACGGATCACGTTAAGCGACTCACTTAAATAAGGATTATCAATAAAATAAATATCATTTTTTGTGTTTTTGCGCTTTTTATATTTTAGATATATATTTTTATAATAATCAATACATCTCTAAATTCATTGTCAGCCAATGGTTTTTTTTTTGGGACGTATTTTTTTAATAACTGCAACTTCAGATTGAAATATATTTATTGAAATCATAACTTTGTACCTCGTGTGCTTCATGAAAATATTTAAAAAATCTCTCATTATTTTATTTTAAATCAATAATTAATGAGATATTAGGTTGTTCGGAAAGTAATTTAATTTTTTCCTGACACAATAATTGGCATTAAGTTGATGTAAATCAGCAAATAACAAGGTGTGAGATCGGTGAGATGTTAAGTTTATCAAATGCAACTGTTTATGCCGACTGGAAAGACTTAGGTTTAACTTCAAAGTAAAAATTGTCTACATTTTCACAAAAGATAAACGACATTACTTTTCGAACAGCTCAATATAAAATAATTTTTACACTTAAATAAAAAACAAACAAACAAATTGTTGCAAAAAAATATTGGCTTTGTCAACTAAGTCACATTGCTGGTTTTTAAAAGCCATCTATCGACAAAATCCACAATCACCGCAATCATTTAGTTGCCAAACCAATAATTCTATTTAATTAGTATAAATAACATTATATACAGTTAATTTAATGTTTTTTTTTGTTTTGCATTTTCGTATTATGGCGTGTAATAGGTTAAAAAAGAAAATAATATTTTGTATATGAATTTATGTTTTTTTACTAACAAAATAAAAAAATTATTACTTTTGTAACAATAGTCTCTTGTTTTTGACACAATGATTAAACAAAAAGGAATATATTAAAAATTATCAGAAAAAAAAAGAATTAAATAATGTACATATATATATAAATAAAAGTACATATTGCATATATATATCATCGATGGATGTTCTCTATTCCAGAATTCGAAAGAAAAAGCATGTTCAGTAGTTCGAATAATTTAATGTTCGAGGTGCATACCAATGACGCGTGTTATAAATCTGCATACAGCTCAGGACAAACGTGGAATACTAAAAGCTAGACGTTATCGTTTGAAATGTTCTCTCTCTCTCTCTCTCTCTCTTTCTCTCTCTATCTTTATCTCTCTCTTTTTCTATCTACTTTTCTTTTTATTTGATTTGATTTGATTTGATATTTTTTTTCTTCTATTTTCTTTTATCTTTTTCCAAAAATCCGATTCAGAATATCGAATTTTTTTTTCTGTTCTCTACTCTCTCTCTCTCTATCTCTCTCATACATTATTCTCTCTCACTCTTTCCTATCGTCTTTGTAGTGGTCGAGCACGTTTTCTCGATTCGCGTGGTATAAAATACCGATAAAGAGAGAAAGAAGAACAAGAAAGAGGTCAAAGATAAAGAAAGAAAGAACAGAACAGAACAGAACAGAATAAAGGGAGAGAGAGAAAGAGAGAGAAGGGCTTATACCCAACCGTTCCCTGCATTTTAACATCAACGAAAAAGAACGAAAAAAAAAGAAAAAAACGAAAGAAAGAACGAATATCGAGAAGAATTAATTGAATTCCCATGACGAACTTCCTTCCGCACGACGTGACAAGGTTAAATCCGTTCCACCCCTTTCCTCATCCCTCCTCCTACCTTTCCCTTCCCCCAATGATATCTGACTATTGTTGCCTGACTTTTTCCCTTTTCGCACAATCCTTTAATATGCTTTATAACAGATATATATATATGTATGTATGTAAGTTCATAAATCTTATGGTGAAGACGGACATAATGGAATATTTAGTTAGAATAATTAATTTTACTTATAATAAGTACTCTTATAATACTTTAAGTATAATATATCATATCATATCAGATTCAGATATCATAAACTTGATTACAATTACATATTTTCTTAACGTTGAGATAATTTATAATTGTTTTGCAAATGAAGCGTTACAGTTAATTGGTTAATTGTATAATAATATTTGCAATAGTTTACATGATTTATTTATTTATATTTATTATAACGTGTCAATGAATTTTAGAATATATTTGTAATCAGTTTACGTTGATTTATTTTAAAACAATTTAAATATATTTTTATTCTTTCATCTAGGTAGATAATTTTTTCATAAAAAAAAAAAAAAATTTAACAGATCAACTTTTGCTATCATCACGCGTTTAATAATTCATTTTATTTTTGTAGGTCAATTCGATTAGACAAAAACATGAATAAATAAATAAAAAAGCAGAATCATCGTCAAGGTTTCTGATATTGTTATTCGAGATTGTTGATTGAAGCAATTAATATGAGACAAAGATACGAGACTGTTATGGGAAATTTAAGCGTGATCGATGAACGTTGTGTGTTATGCGTAATGTTTACTAATTAGTATGGGAAACCGATTATAATTAGTAATTGCACGTAGCTAGTGTTCGTTTACCGCATATATGCGGTCTACGGTTAGTCTCCAGTAACAGCTGAAGTCTTTGTGTTTACAAATTAGAAAGAGAAAGAGAAAGGTAAAGGTAAAGAATACTAAAGTAGATGTACAGGTTGATTCAAGATAAAGAAATCATACATTTAGAATATAATATTGTTGAAATTATTTTGAAAATAATGAAAAAGTTTATAGTAAGTTTTATTTTTGAGAATTGGCTGTCAGCAGTTAGCAATGTTGAATTATTTTTAAATTTGTATTTCAAATTTATGTTCTTTCTTTCTGGAATTACTTTATTTCTTTAAAAAGATAAAGTTACGTATAATATAATGAAATTGTTTAAAAGGTTTTCTCAATAAAAGATGGTGGATTTTAATAATTATTATCTATCTTAATTAGAACGAGTGTTTTGTTATATGTTCATTCGTGTTTTTTGATTAGAATTTCGGTGGTAACTACTATAATGAAGAGAGTGAGTAAAAGAGAGAGAGAGGGGGGGGGAGAGAGAAATAAATTGCAAGGAAAGTTGAAAGTTTGATACGTTTAGACGAGTTTTATGGGTTAGTTTTAGATAGAGAAAGCTTTAGAAACTTTCTACAACGTTGATTCCTTTTTGTCACTACGATAAAAGTCCCTGACGGTAACTAAACGATGTTCATTTGAGTCACTAATGGTGTACCTTCTTCTTTTGGCAATGGGTTAAAATAAAAAATAAAAAAAAAAAAAGAATTAAATGTTTTATTTACAGCAACGAAGAGAACAATAAAATTGAAAAAAGAAAAACAACAATTGTAATGTTATTTCAAATTAACACTAGATTTGCGGATTTAGCCAATTTGATTCATTTCAAATTGTTTTCTTGCATATATATAAATTAAATATTATTTTTTTTTAAATATAGGTTAGTTTTTAGTTACGTATAATGAAAAATATATTTAAATATTAATTCCTAATCTATACATTCAATTCTTCATTCAAACAATGTTTGTAAGTCATAAAAATAATGAATCAAATATAAGTAAATTTAATGTTAATGAAAAAAACAATTCGTAATTAACTTCTTCTTTGTTAAACTAATTCTATGTTTAAGTAGGTAGGTTTAGTGTTCAAAAATAGAACTTAATTAAAGTATGATTAGAGGGGTTTAATTTTTTTTTGAAAGATCAGCGAATAAATCTAGGTCATGTAATATATCTCGATAAAAAAAATTAAAATGGATATCAAGGTGTATTATGTACTATGAAAAAGAAAAACAATTGTAATATTATTTAAAATTAATGAAAAAAAAAAAAACAATTCTTAACTACCTTTTTCTTCGTAAAATTAATTCTATGTTTAAATAGGTAAATGTTAAAAAAAAGAATAAGAAAGAAGTAAATGAAAGTATGATTAGAGAAGGGTTTAGTTTTTTTTTTTGAAAGATCAGCGAATAAATCTAGGTTATGTAATATATTTCGATAAAAAAGTTAAAACAGATGCCAAGGTGTATTCGTTCACAACGATTGAGCACGAAGGTTTCAAAAGGTTAAGGAAGGTCCGACCCGGAAAACTGATTCTCGGACGTTTTCTTTCAAGGTACCTGAGAAACTGGGTCGTCCGTAGACTTTTTTTTTTCTTTTTCGATGTAAGATACCCGATAAAAGAAAGATCGATGACACGTGAACTAGAACGACCAATAGTAGTAGTGGCTAAATTCTTTGAAACAAATGAACCTTGAAAAACTTTCAGGTATTACTGACGAATTCGATCAAATCAAAGGTATAATTTCAAGTAAAATATTTCAATACATAATATGATCGAAATATGAAAATATTCTCTCTCAAGGTTATAAAATTATTATATTATTTGCGAATATTTGGTTCATGTATTTTATAATTCTATCAAATTTCTATTTTTTGCAAATTATTTAAAAATTTTTTATTGTATTATTGTAATATAATTGGTTACTGTTTAGTAAGGTGTTAATTATATAAAATAATCTTTACATTATGTTCTTTCGTAATTATGTTCATTTAACTTTGTATTAATAAAATAAGTAGATATAATAATATAATAATACAATGATTACATATATATTACATAATAATAATAATAATAATAATAATAATAATAATAATAATAATTTAAATAAAATGATTTAAATCCTATAAAATATAATAGAATAGAATTAAGAGATAGAATAGAATTGGATAAGTTATTTTCCAAATAAACCTAGATATATAAGGCGTTATCGTGTTAATTGATCTCATGCCTTGCTGCTAACGTTTTAGTAAAGTACACTCTAGAGTGTAATCTAGGAATAAATCGATGTGACGAATGAAACTGGCAATTCTTAACGAGTTCTCTCACGACAAGTTTACTATACTCTCTATGTTACTATCACATCCATGGGGGAATATATACTTGCGTTGGCACAGGAAAACCATTCTCTCTTGAGAGTGATACCTACGATCAATACCTATCCAATAGTCAAAGTGGATCTATCAATTCGTTTGAATGTGTATACAGTTATTTGAAATTTGTAAGAACTACCAACACAAAATCCTAACGTTTCTCAACAATTTTCTACCAAGAAATATAAGATATCAATATTCTGTTAACGTTTATGGTTATTACTCTATTTCGATTAATTGCATTTAGCTACTTGACGTAGAAATGTAGATCAATACACATTGATAACATTGCAAGGGTATTAGTACTATCAATACTAATGCAATATCAAAGGGATGAGAAACACGCACGAAACATTTACATCTAACCCTTGAAGTTATATATATATATATATATATATATATATATATATTGGAATTGTACACACACATATGTATATAATAAACCTTTACTAATTGTAAGACAGAAGATAATACGTAATTGATTAATCTATACATAGTTATTGACATAATTAATGATAGATGATTACATTTGAATAAACGTGAAAGCAGTGATACTCGTCGAATGATCAATTTACCTTATACAAATTTCATATTGTCGCATAAATATCATTTATGCTGAATTTAACGATTTAATATTAATGTTTTAATCAATACAGATTAATAATAAATAAAATGAATTGTGTTTTTACATATTTGATATGCAGATGATTACACAGAAGATAAAATAAAGAAAAAAAAACAAGTCTTGTTCGCATAAATATCATTATACTGTATTAATGATTTAATATTTTTATATTTAAAAATGCAGTGCCACTTTGTTGGTTTCCAGTGAACTTTGAAATTACTCAATCGATCTAAAATTTGGTTTATTTTGTGTGAATTTTTTCAACTTAGTAGATG